AATAGTACTTAAATTTAATCTTAATTACGAGTTAAAATCTTAATTAACAAATAATAGTTCATTTATAATTAATATGTATAGTTAAAATACATATAATATAGATACATATAATATATTTAGTAAATATATACACACACTATATCAGTGGGTGGCACGTGGCCACCCACTGTTTGAGTTGTTTGAGGGAGGGGGTAATCCCCTTTAGCCGTGCCCTTTCTATTATTTTTTTAAAAAAAAATTTACAATACCAAGACATCATCTAGGTAAGTTATTTTTTATCCTACTTTATTATTTAGCTTCTTCTTTTATTTTTCTAAGTTTTTAGCAGAAAAATGTATTTTTGTAGGGCTTGATAGATTTTTAATATTGGAGGCTTCTAACTTATTTTAATGATATTAATAGAGCTTATGGAGTTAGAATAGAAGCCTTATGACTTAGATTTTTAGTTAGATGGTTGATTCGAGGCAATATAAGTTAGGGTTTGGTTGAAAAATTATGATTTGTGTTAGTGATGATATTAATTTCGAAATTTATCTCTTAATTGAGTTCATTGAAGATTATTGAGGATCCAATGGTTGAACTTTGAGGATTTTTTGTTAAAATAGAAGTGTTGATGATTTTTGGAGAGACTTTAACTAGTGGAAATTGGGTGTTTGGAGTCAACTGGGAAAAATGTTAAAATTTAATGATCATAGTGAGTAAGAGGTGATTAATGGAAGAAGGAAATAGGATTGTAATAATGATTTGAGGTATAGTTAATATATGGTTATTTTTCTAAGAGTTAAAGTAAGCACTTTTTGGAGATTTGTGGATGATTTGAAGGAATTATTCTTATTAATAATATGAATGAGATAAATAGAGTTGGGAAGTACTAGAAATTGTTACTTGGAGGAATAGATGAATTATTATTTTTCCTAAAGGTAACTTTTTTTAAAGTAAGCCAATTATGGGGATTTAGTTAATAAACTATTTTAATGTTATATTAATTAGTCTTTTTATATTAATATATGTTTATCAATTTATTATTGTAGAGTGAACTTGGTTTGGGCTCTTGGGTCTTGAATCCTCTTATTTTTGTTCTTGTATCAAGAACTTGAAATAACCACTTTCTAATTTACCTTGTATGTTTGTTGATGTGGTTATTAGTATGTGTTGATATTATAAATGTTATCATTATATGTTATAGTGGTTTATGTATAAAAAGTGATACACACACACATGTATATTTGAAAATTTATGTTTTGATAAATTTATTAGTTAAGTGAGCATGAATTATTTCATCTTATGAATATCTTGTTGATGTTGAACAAATTTGATTATTGAATCTAAGAATACTTTATGAATATTGAATTGAGTGGAATTAAATGGTTGGTTTGTGCTGAAATATAATTGTGGGAGGCTTGATTATTTATATCACGTGATATAATCGCCACTTGACACCCAGTGATTGGCTTTAACATTCTTAGGGCTCTCGATATCCCTTTTTTTGGCCAGGTCAAGGGTCAGCCCAAGGGACATAACACCTTTCCGTATATCAAGGAAAGGGAGCCCATGATCCGATATGAGTTCTGTAACTTTTGACCGAGTTATATCTCATTATTAGAGAGCTTGGTATAGTCTTGTTAAAGAGACGAATCCTGTTATGTATTATTAGCCCATGGGCTTTGTCAGATGTTACAAGAAGGTTATAAGAATGGTTGATGAAGTTCTGTGCATGCAAGTTATCTTTTGAATTATTATATATTGTTTTCTGTAAAGATATATACCTTATATGTTATTTGAAATTGTACTTTGCCCGTTTAACTATCTTGTAATCACCCCCTGTATACTTGTTGAATTGAAATTGTGGTTACTGGGTCAATTTGACTCAACCCGTGGTTATTTAATATTTTTCAAGTAAGAGTTCAAATGTTGGTTCCAGGGAAAGTTGTCCAAGGCTTAAGTTGCTCTTCCAACTCTGTGTAGCCTCTATTTTGGTATAGATGATTTGTTTGATGTATATTGCCAAACTTTAGGGTTTTTTTGTTAAACTCAACATATGTTTAATTTTTCTGCTACATTCTAGACTTAAGCTATTAGGCGGAATCCTTTTTGGATATAGGTGACTGTTATTTTGATTGCGATTGATATGGGCAGTGGTGGTAGTTATTTTGGTGGACTTCAAATGCTATAGCCCATTCATGATTGGTTTTTGTTATATTTTTGGGCTTATAAATATTCATGATGGAGTTATTATACACATGAAAAATCAAGTATTGATTACTTCTTGTTACATTAATTATCTCTACTACTCTAGAATAGTGGCTATTGCATTGTTATGGATGTAAATTGTTAATAGCTATAGTAGATTTCTATTTGATTAGTTTTGTTCTTTTTATCATGGTTGACCTTTCAAAGTAATTATGGGAGTCTTTTATAACTATGGTAATTTCTTTTCATTGTATGATTTATTCTTTCTACCATAGTTTCTACTTAAATGTTTTTAGTTAACTCTTTCTGATTATATTGGTTATTTAAGAATTAATTATTGTTTCTGAAAATGTTTAATTGCCACTTATTACGGGGCTGTTACAAATTGAACCAAACATTCAAACTACATTTTTGGGCCAAGAGAGTACAGCTTTATTATAAGAGAGAATTGTAATAAAGTCCTAATAAAAAATAATTATAAAATAAGTCTCATAAGTTGTTATTCGTTACTCTGGAACTTGTCATTACAGACTGCTTAGATTGTTATTAAGATTTTTTAATAATTATTTTTCTTCTTTGAAAGTTGATTTTAATCCTTCCTTAATATAACAAGTGGGGCTAGGAATCACTGCACGAGTGGGATAATGTTGATGCAGACTCATAATTCATAAATTACTTCAACATTATTTAAAAAGCCTGCCTTGTAAAATATTCCACAAAGAGTTCACTAAGGCTGCACATTTCGCTCATAATCTCGCACACATTTATAGTTCCACGTTAAAAGATGCACGACAAAATGTGTATGATAATTTGAAAAAACTCAGTGTATGACAATTTGAAGTATCGATGCTTGATAAAGATTCAAATAAATCCTGCAGAATTAGCATCTAAGATGTTCACCTACAAATAGCAGAGCAGAAGAAAAGCATCTCATTCGAAAATTCCAAAAAAAAAGAGAGATAAGAATCCAATAACAATCAGGAAAAGAAGACAAAAGCATGATTTTAAGCTTCCAAAACCAGAATACCACATATCTATATCGTATAAGGAAGCTTAAACAAAGAACCTTCAACAACAAGAGGCATTTAATCCTAAAACTTTCAAGAACAATGGATTTAAATAAATGTAGCAATGATCCGTATTGTTTATGATCTCTTCGGGCTTCTACAGGTTCTATTTTCAATGGGACAGGGGCAAGTTGCTAAGGCTAAACAGGCTAAATCTTAACACGGGCTCCATATAGCACATGGGAAAACCAAAAGCTTACCATTTTCAACATATTAATCCGCAGATATAAAATGGTTTTAATGTTTAAACTCAAAGGAATAATATTGATGCAATAATAATAATAATGAAATATAATTGTCTTAAAATACGTTACTGAGTTAAAATGCATATGAGTTAAATAAATATGAGAGTTGGATGTATTGACAAGTGGAAATGCTTTGGTGCTGAAAGCAAAGAAGAGGAGGGATAAGTGATGATCGACATTTTTGCTGGGGTGTGCGTGGTCATTGATGAATGGGAAAAACAGAGTAAACTATGAGGACTGAGTCATAGTAAATCAAATTATAAGAATTGAGTTATGAAGTTGTCAAAAGATTAAATGATTAATTTTTCTTATTAAAAATTAAAACTTTTAACTATTTTTATTGACATGTGTAATCTAATTAGTGGATTATTATAATAAACACCATAATTTCGTGCTAAAAAAAAAAACAGAAACACATGCAATATGCTTGATCCTGAATTCAAATATCGCTGCTTGCGGGGCAAATCTAGCGGGTACCCTCGAACCAACATGCTAACCCGACTCAAAGTCAACCCAATGTGTTTTCTGCCACTCTTGTGTTAATTTTTTGGGCTTTGTGGGGTTGAATGGTGCTTTTGCTTTTTGTTTTTTCCAGATACAAATTCAATGGATCGCTCTTATGCAGGGTCAAGTTAATTCCTTTTAAATTAACAGGATTGAGTCTAACAAAAATTAGCAATTCACAAGGTGATGAATTTATATCTGAATTCCCATTAAAAGAAATGGTAACATTTAGTGTTTAAATATGATTACTTTTTTTTTGGATACAGTCAAATATGATACCTCTAATAAGAAGAGTCATGTAGTTAGCAGAAATAAAATTAATCCCTTTTATGTCATTCATGACTTGATGCCCAACAAAAGGAGCCATTGTAACTTATTGTATTGTGATGAGTTTGATTAGTTTAACTTTAATTAATTAAAGTCTAATTTTGTTTCGAAATAAGAGTTGAGGATCTAAAATTTTTGTTGAATCAATGTTACTCCAAAAGACTAACACTGATAATCACTCCTCCGGTCCTAGATATAAGACTCTTATATGATATATATTAGGGTTTTATATTTAGGATCGAAGCAGTAATATTTTTATCAGTTATAGGTGATATGGCTTCTTTTTTTAACACTTTTAATATGACATTGATTTAACAAAAATTTTTAAATTCCCGCAACTTCTATGTGAAGAGTTAGAGGCAAAATTAACTATTATAATCCAACAGTTTAATGAAAATAAAATAACAAAGAAAAAGCAGAGTAAAGAAAGGGAGAGGGAGAGTAGAATAATTAAATAAAAAAATAGTTAGAGAACACGTAACGAAAGGGTCAAAAAGATAAAAAGAAGATGATGATAATAGTATTTCGAAAAATCAGATTCCCCCAAAGTTTTCAAAACCAAACAGGCTCCAGCAGAACGGAGAAAGGGATAGCACCTCAACGAAAGAGAAAGGGAGAGAGAGAAAGAAAGGAAGAAGAAGATCATCCATGAAAACACATTCTCTCTCCTCTTCCCTCCTTTCTCTCTAAATAAAGCGCCCCCACACGAATACAATATTGCAGCTGTCTCCAGCCCATTCCCTCACTCTCCCTCCCTCCTCCATCCCCTTCCTCGTTTATATACCCCCCTCACCCTTCCCTTTCTTCCTCACTCCACCACCACCTCCGCCGCCGCCGTCCCTCACCATGCCACCGCCCTTCACTTCCTCCCTATTCTTCTTCCTCCTTTTTCTCTCTTGTTTGTATCCTCTGGTTGTGTCTAATCCTCAGTTTCAGACGCTTAACACTAATGCTCAGTACTCTAAGTTCAACCCCAAGCTCCCTCCCCATGTTCTCTCTTCCTCCAAGCGCTACGAGGGTTCCTCCGACATCGTCCGCCTCCGGTACCACATGGGTCCGGTGCTCTCCTCTCCTATTAATGTTTACCTGATTTGGTACGGCAAATGGGCTCAGCCCCAGAAGCTTCTTATCAAGGATTTCCTCTTGTCTATTTCCACTCCCAACGCGCCGTCGCCCTCCGTCGCTGACTGGTGGCGGACTGTCTCGCTTTATACCGACCAGACCGGCTCCAACATCTCCCGCACGCTCACCATTGCTGGGGAGTATTCCGATGTCCATTACTCCAATGGGAATCAGCTCACGCGGTTATCAGTTCAGCAAGTTATCGCCTCCGCCGTCCGATCTGCCCCGCTCCCTGTAGACCACCGGAAGGGGATCTATCTTATTTTAACTTCTCAGGATGTTACGATGCAGGATTTCTGCCGTGCTGTGTGTGGATTCCACTACTTCACTTTCCCTTCTGTGGTGGGATACACTCTTCCGTACGCTTGGGTCGGGAATTCCGGCAAGCAGTGTCCGGAAGTCTGCGCCTACCCCTTCGCGATCCCTGGGTACATGGCCGGCGGAGGACCTGGAGCGTTGACGCCGCCGAACAGGGATGTCGGCGTCGACGGGATGATCAGCGTGATTGGGCATGAATTAGCTGAGCTATCCTCAAATCCGTTGGTGAATGCGTGGTACGCCGGCGAGGACCCAACGGCTCCGACGGAGATCGGGGACCTGTGTGAGGGATTGTACGGTACCGGAGGCGGCGGAGGATACATTGGGCAAGTGATGAAGGATGGGAACGGAAGAACGTTCAATTTGAACGGAAAAAATGGAAGGAAGTTCTTGGTGCAATGGATTTGGAGCCCTGTGTTGAAAGCTTGTGCTGGTCCCAACGCCATGGACTAGATTTTAGGGGGGGGGGGATAAAAAAATCTGGTTGGGTTTGTATTTTTTTTAAGATTTTTATGGGTATTGATTTGTCAAAAAGTCTCAGTTCTCGTGAGATGTATCGGCGGCGGACGGAGGTGGAGGAGGACGAAACGTGTACTGCGGCAATGGCCGTTGCGGTGGAGTGGCGATGAGTAAAAGATATCTTTACGGAGAGAGAAAGGAGAAGCAGCAATAGATGATAGATATTTTTTCACTGTTGTCATCTGATGTATATATTATTATGACGTAATGATTTTTTTTTGAACTTATGAGTTTTGACCAATTGTTTCTATTTTCTCGCTTGGGCTAATCATCAAAAAATCGATCATTTTTAAATATGATTGACACTGAAAAAATTTAATAAGGTGGTTTTTTTAGTGTCTGTCAGAAACAGTGTTTGAAATCTTTGGCGAGTCGGATGAAATGCCCAAGCTTAAGTGCCAATCATGCTACGTTTGTCCTAGTTTTCAAATCATAGAATGTTGTGCTTATTATTTATAAAACGAGTTATAATTAAAATTTACATACATATTAATGGAATAAAGTGTTTGATTTCATGTTACTAATAACACATAAGTTTTTTTATATACTATTATTTTTTCCCTATTTTATTATTAGGTATTTTCATGTTTTATACATATTAATGAAAATTTTAAATTTTATTAATTCACTTAATTTTAAATTTAACTTTCTAACTTTTATCTATATATTTAATATATTACTTATATAAATAAATAATGACATAATAATAAAATGAGGAGCAAAATTATACATCTATACAAAAAATATTTTTTCTCGTTATCTTATAAATAAGATTAAAAAATATTTTTTTCTCTCTATCCTATAAATAAAATAAAAAGAAGAGTACTTCCGATTTTGAATTATAAAACGTCGTGCAAGGACGGAATAAAAGAACAACCAGGCATCATGCGTATCGCCCTAGTTGTCGCTAGGGATTTGATCAAATAAGATACTCCTCCAATCTTTAATATAAGATATATTTAACTAATTTAATTAGATTAAAGAAGTTAAGTAAGTTAGTTAATTATAAGAAATGTAACATATTTTTTCTAAAATACTATAATCATCTTTCTTAATACCCCATCTTCCTCTTCTACTTGATTATGGTTGAAAAAGTGTTTATATGGGTAATTTAGACAAAAATGATAAATATGAGAAATAGATCTTATATTTAAAACCAAAACTAACTTAATAATTAGATCTTATATTAAGAACAGGAAGAATACTTCGGTTTCTCCAGATTTTCTCACTAAAATACCCTTAAAAGAGGGATAAGTCTAAACGGAGCCAAAAGCGCAAAGTGGTCCCTTTATATGGGAGGGGCGGAGGGATTTATCCCTGCAGAACGAATTTGACCTCCTTTCCCATTTAAAAAAGAAAAAACAATTCAGCTTCGTGAATTTGAGTTTGCGTATAAACATAAATTTGCTTTTGCTAACCTAAAATATAGGCATTCTATTTAATGTTGAGATAAGGTGTTTAAATATTTTGAAAATATTCATCAAATAATACCCTGCACTTAGAATATTTTAAAATTTTTATATATCTGGAAAGTTTATTTTATATATTAAACTTGACCATTAAATATGTGGTTTACGAATAACAGTGCAGAATAAAAATGTTGCGAAATAAAAATTTCAGGGTATTTAAGAGCCAATTTTTTTTTTCAGGTATTGGTGCTTATTTGTGGAAGCTTTCAAAGTATTTAAACACCTTATCCCTTTAATATTAGGTAAAACTTATAATTGTTCAGTACTAAGTATTTTCAAAAGATATTTTGAATAATCCAAATTCAGTCAAATAAGATAATATGAAATTAAAGCTCTGTAGGCAAAAAAAAATTAAATTTCTCCTAGTAATAATTTTTCATATGCAAAAGACCCAATTTTAAAGAATTTTTTTGTGAAATTAAGGCCGAACTTATTTTGTGTTATCTTAAAATCAAACAAAATATTGGGCAACTTGATTTTTTTTTAAAAAAAAAAGGCTATTGAAATAATAGAAATGGACTGCGATTTTTTGAATAAGTTCATTTGGTATACAAAATTGTCCTAGCCTTCAAATCTCTGCCAGGAAAAGTGTCTATATTTAGTATCTAACAGTATCTCGAATAGGAAGATATTTATATTTTAGTAAAAAAAAAATTGTCCCAGCCTATTTTTGTCCTGTTCTCTTTATTAATTTCAATCTTCTCCGATTTTATGGCCACAAATCTTCTATTATTCTTTTATACTCCATCTTATTTAAACAAGTTTTTTTTCTATTTTTTTCTTCCGCCTATTTTTGACCCGAGTGATATTTCATTTATACAGGATTTTTCTCACATATAAAAACATTATATTTTGTGGTGCATCCAACACCTCGAAAGTATTTTCTAAGGTGGGCATCCAAGACCCTAAAGTATTTTGTTGTGCATCCAACACCTTGAAATATTTTTTTAGGTGCGTTCAGCACCTAAAAATATTTGTGGTGCATCTAGCACCAAGGCAAAAAAAAAAAAATACTTCAAAGTGTTGGATGCACCACAAAATATTTTAAGGTCCTAGATGTATTTGAGAAAATATTTCTTAACCCTATTTTGTTATTTATTTTCATTATATGTATTCCACTCTCTATTCTTAAAATTTTGGTGGGGGCGGGGGGCGGTGCAGTATAGAATCTGAAGGGAGCCACGCTACCTCTAGATTTAATAATATACAGGAACCCTGCAATATTTTATTATTATTCACATTGACGTTGAACTTTTTTTTTTTTGACATATTAAACAACTTTTTCCCCTTTTTTTTTTTCCCAAATGAGTAACACAAGTTGACTTCTTTCCACTGGTAGGCATTGAATTTATTTAACATATGAATATGATTAACAATTGTCCAATTTCAAAACAGTTCACGTGCTTGTTAGACTAATCTTCACTATCTCAAGATGTTAAAAAATAAAAATTATATTTTTTCCAACATATAACATTTATTGTTGTTAACATTTTATGGATTCCACGATAATAGCTACTCAGAATGAAAAAGTAACAAAGTTGTATAATCAAAGATAATGATTTTAAATTCTTTTTATTCTACAAAATTTTTTACATGAAAAAGTGGATTGTAACATAAATATATATTATATTCAGGATTTGTGCTTCCTACCAATTTACTTATATCTACCATTTCAGTGTTTTGTAATTATGACTCATATGATCATGTCTTTTCCTGAAGATTCAAACTCATATTGAGAAAGGTGTTTGGTATTAGTTGAGTTATACGACTCTAACCAGCCTTTCTTTGAATCTTATATATATTTGCGTCGAGGGAAAAGTGGGAGGAAAATAAAGAGGAGAAAATATTAAGAAGAAAAACTTTCAAAAATAATAAAAAGTTATTAAATTGACTATTTTTTGAAATTTTTTCCTCTTGGTATTCATTCCTTTCTATTTCCCTTTCCATTATATTAATATCGCGTCATGTCTTTTTTTGTGATACGCGCATTATATTAATGCTTATATCATGTCATTTCGTGAATTCTAAAACCCCATTTGGTTCGATTGCATTCCACACAATAACGCAAAAGAATGTAATATAATACTCCTCTAGTTTTTAATATAGGACCTAATTGTTGAATTGGTTTTGGTCCTAAATATAAGACTCATTTCTTATATTTATCAATTTTCTCAAATTACCCGTATGGATACTCCCTCAACCATAATCAAGTAGAAGAGGAAGAGGAGGTATTAAGAAAGATGATTATGGTATTTTAAAAAAAATGTGTCACATTTTTTATAATTAACTAACTTACCTAACCTCCTTAATCTAATCAAATTAGTTAAATAGGTATTATATTAAGGACCGGAGAAGTAGCTTTTTGGGTTATAAGAAAGTGTGGATGAATTGGATAATATGAACTCATTAAGATCATAACATACTTCTAGATTTAGAGAGCAAGTATAGAAATACTTACACATTATCTACTAGTAAAATTCTCATATTTGATCCAAAATCACAAACTTAGGAGCATTATCATCTACCCATTTTTTTAGTTTGCCTTTTTTTTTTCCCTTTTGATAGTGTTTTTGGGAAGAAGTGATGGATTAGAGAAGAGAAATAGAAAGGCAATGGGATATGAAGAGATAAGATATTTGTGTGTGAGAGACAGAGAGGGAAAGCAAACGAATCTATGTCGTCGTCCCGCTAACCAACCAACCAACCACCCACCAAGGCCACAGTAGCGAGGACATTGAGAAATTTTATGATTGCCAACTCAGGCGGGGACCTTCATCTTCCAAATAGAGTATTATTGTTTTCCTTCTTTCATTTCATTGTCTTTTTTCCTTGCCATCAATCGATATTTCATTTTATTATCAAAACTTTATCATTGATTCATGATATATATACACATAGTTACATGCACCACAATTTTGTTTAAAATTATGTATCTAAAAGATTGAAGTGAAGGACAACAAAACACAGACTCAAGTTCTATATTTTCTTTTAAATCCAAAATATGACATTTCTAATCAAGTTCCTTGCAAACTCAAATTCTTATATTTGAGTGAAATTAAAATACTAATTTTTTTTAATTATAACTCACACACCAAATAAATCTTACGAAGGTTTGAATTCACAAGTTCACGCTTTAAAAAGAAAAAAAATCAAAAAACGCCTTTGATATCGTTACGTTACAAGACACCAGCAATATCTAAATACATTTATGGTATCAACTTTTTTTTTTTTAAAGGACATGGCTTTTCTGAAAAATCCACATATTTTTTGTTTGCAAAACACACACACATATAAAATTTAAAAAATAAGTTATTGATTCAGGCCTAAAAAAAAGTTATTGATAGAAAATCACATAATTCATAAATTTATAGTTATTTAACATGCGCAAAAAATAATAAAAATTGGAAAAAAAATCTCATTGAAAATTTTATTTGTGAGAAGGATTTGATAAATTTTTATACTCAGGTTGTTCCAATGCT